AAAATTGATTTTTGAATAGTGATATGATGGGAAATGTGTGGTTGAAAAAGAAGAAAAAAGTATTGATGTGATGGAAAATATTATTTTATTGAAGAATGTGTGGTTGAAAATGAGAATTGATTTACTGTAGAAAATAAAAATCTGTACCAAACAGATCCTAAATGTATTGGATGATGCTGGTTTGAAAACATGTTGTGATCAACTTGACATTATTCTAAGACGTCATTTTTTGTAATATTGATGGCAAAGATTTGCTTCAAGAGTTAAAAATTTTGCGAAATCTTTTATCAAAATAAACAAAGACAGATTTTGATATATTAATTTATTTGAAATACCAAAAGAAACAAAGACATCTTTTGATATATTGACTTATTTAGAAAATTTTGGATCGCTTTTGGAATACATTTATTGCTAATAGAGCATTATTGATAATTAATGTTATTTTGCATTTGTCGAAAGAAATTTTTCAAAATTGAAGTTATTTACAATCAATCATGTTAAAAGAACGATTGAATGGCTTAGCTTTGATATCTATTGAACAAGATTTGTTAAAAACGAAAGTTTAATTAGTTAGTTTGCTTCTAGAAATGCGAGAAGAAATATTTTTACATGATTTGTGTATTTCAAAGTTTACACGTGATATTTGATATTTCTGATTTCAAGATTTTTTTATATGGAATTACACGAAAAGTTTAGTCGATGTTCTATTCGTATTTCAGTTTTGTGTTTTTAGTTTTGAATTCATTTTGAGTTTTATGTTTTGAAATTGTTAAAAATGTGTTCTTTTTGACATTCTAGAAAATTGTTTCTCACCAAGGCACTTGCTCAAGCTTTCATCATAAACCTAAGAGATCTATTACCAAAAATACTACCTCTGCGGGAATTAATCCGGTATGCTGTTGTTCATCACCGATGGAGTAAAGAGAAGATCCCAAATCTTGAAGGGGTTGGTGCAGGTTTGAACCTAAAGTCAGTTGTAAACCACTTCTGTATACACCCTGGTGGTAGGGCAGTCATTGATGGAGTTGGCAAGAGTCTAGGGCTAACCGAATACGATCTTGAACCAGCTCGAACGACACTTCACCGCTTCGAAAACACGTCGGCCAGTGGCCTCTGGTATGTTCTAGGCTACATGGAGGCTAAAAGGAGACTTAAGAAGGGTGATAGGGTTTTCATGATAAGTTTTGGTGCTAGTTTTAAGTGCACTGAGGGACATGGAGGATGCTAATGTATGGAAAGATTACATAGAAAAATACCCTCCAGAAACCCTCATGAGGAAATACAAGGAAATAACATTTTCATCCTTGTCTAATTCCACAATGACCTTTGACTAAGAAATAAAATAAAAAATAAATAAATAATGGTGAAAATATAACTTTAGTTG